GCTTAGAAACACAGATGGCAATTTTAAAACTCTGGCACAGGAGATGAAGATGAAAAGTTTTGTAATTAATAGCAGTTGGCCTTCCTGATCAGGAAATTTTAGGGCAGCTTTAACTTTTTTGTATTGGCTTTTGGTTAATTCAAACATTACCGTTGATTATTTAAACTGTTTTATCTGACAACTGATGTACAGGACAAGTAAATGCATTCTAGTATAGTAAGTGTCAGTAAAGTTTGGATAGCGGGAGAACCACAAAAACCTGCATTTTCCCAGATTATTCTTAGTTTCAGAACTAACACTGCTTGGAAAGTGGTTTTAATTTTGGGTCAGTATAATACCTGGCTACATTCACGATCTTATTTAATGCTGACACTTTGAACTAGCACTTAAGGAAAATGGATAAGGTGGTATTTAACACTTGAGTACCTGCAGTCACTGTTACCAGGAGGATAGATGGAGACTAACACGCACCTATTTCAGACTGAGGCCAGTACCTCACAGCTGCCGACGATGAAAGGGCCACATAAAATCTCTTGGTAAACAAATGAAGAATAATTAACATTAGCATCTCCATATTGTGCCACAGAGATGACTGTCTTTCTGACCTATAGAGAATTTTTCTTGTGTAGATTAATGGCATCTTTTCCAGACATCAGCTAATAATCCTAATAACAACAACAGTGACAACACCTCTCCAAATAAATCAGTGAGCCGCGTGTCTGGCTGAGAGCCGCCTCCTGCAGTTGTTGGCATTGCTCTGAAAGGAAAATGAATTCACCAGGTGTTTTACTTTGTTTTTCTTAGACACTGGCCAAAAGAAGACCCTAGACAAGAAAGATGGGCGAAGGATGTCTTTTCAGAAGCCTAAGGGAACGATGGAGTATACTGTAAGTTACTTTGGCAAAAGCAATCCATCCTTATAACACTCTTACTAAAGGCATTTCCTGTTTGACTACAGATGAGCCAAGTATGTTAATTGCCTCACTTTAAGGGTCCAACTTCTTTTGTGTAACTTTCCTGGATACTAATCCTTCACTTCTTAATTGCGTTTTATGATTTGTTTTTCTCACTGTGTCCCACAAAGACAGTTTCTCCAGCAAATTAAATTTAGTCCTGATGATGATTTAGAGTCAGGGTTCCTTTGTTGCAATAGTTTTATTAGATTAGGCTTTTCGGACAGTGTTTGCCTTTTTAGGAATGTTGCCTTGATCGGGTTCCCAGCAGTGCTAACGTTAGTGCTAATGTCAGGTGGTGTCCTCACAGGCTGACTATCCTCAGCCGTGAAAGCAGTGCTTTCTTTTGGAAAGACCCTCAGATCTCTGTGGGGTCTTTATATAATTCTGGCTACTGTGGACAGCAAAGGTGACAAATTAATTTTGGAGTACATTGTTTTGTTTACTTGGTTGGATGTAAACATGAGATGGCATTAAACATGTTGTAAGTCAAATATATGAATTCAGATTAATGTTGTTACTTGGTGTTTTAACATATTATAACTACATTAAGGAGAAAGTGGCAGTCTTCCACATAGATAACATGTCTTCAGTGTTCAGAGCTTCCAGCATGACTCTAAACTACTTACCATAAATTCTTGAACATTATCAAAATTTGAGTTATAGCTTACACACACACACACACACACACACACACACACACACACACACAGTGTAATTGACATTTGTCATATTAAATATTTTCAAAAGGCTGGAATCTACTTATTTGGGCAGAATTAAACTAACTTCTGTCAAAAGAATTGTATTTTAAAGCCCATTACAACCCTAAATTATGTATGTTTGTGCCTACACGGTTGAGGTGAGAAAATAGTAAAAGGTTAAGTAATACAATTTAGTATATTCTTAAATGTTTACAAAGGCGTAAGATTTGAGACATAGGTATAGTTTTGTGCTATAGAGATGTACATGACATAGTTTTTGATGTTCATGAACTGTAACATTTTGTTGGTTTTGAATTTAGGAATTTGCCATTCTTGGCATATAATAAAACATCTGAAGCAAAATTAAAATAAGAACCATTTATTATCGAGTGAGAACAGGTCATGAAAACCTGAAAAAATATCTCCTTCCTTTATGAGTGACTCTTTAAAAATTCACATATTGGCCAACGAGCATAAAAAATCTAGCAGGTCTTTTTTATTTATTTTTTATTGCAAATGTTAAATTATAAAATGCAAGGAACATAAAATTCAAAGCTAGATATTGTTTTATACTCTGTTTTTTATAATCTTTAAAATAAAGTCTGTCAAATCTTTGCATACAATGACTGTATTGACTGCAGTATGTATTTCCACGTATTTCTTTTATGATAAAGCTTCTGTATCACAGTGTACTCTGGAGGCTAAGGCAGGATTGTCCTGACACAAGAGTTCCAGGAACTTGGCCAGGCCATTTGAAAAATATGTTACCTAGCTTAAATATATTCCCAATACTACCTTGTATAGTATAAAGGGAGTCATATTTTAGATATCCTAAAAATTAAAATCAGATAGATCGAT